GTCCACCGCGGCCGAGTTTGGGGAGTTGGCTCTGGACCCTGGCCCTCTTGCTCCGCGCCCCCGGGACCCCGCGCGGTCGCCCCCTCCCCGTCACCGTGGCAACAGCAAGGTGGGGGCTCGACCTACGAGGAAGGGCTTAGGGGAGGGGGCGCCACTAGTCTCCACCTGCGACTGGGAAGTGAATTTTAGTTTCACGCGTTGTCGTGGCAACGCGGAGGGGGCGACGAGTGGGCGGAGAAGGGGAGCGCAGTGAGGAAACAAAACGAACGCAGCGGCGCCACCAGCCCGTGGGGAGCGCGCAGCCCTGGCCGAATCTGCACCGCGCGCTCCATGTGCCCTGGGGCCCCAAAGAGCCCGGCTGCATCCTGGGTCGCCCTTTAGAGCAAGCTGGCTCCAAAGTCCAGCTCCCCCACCCTCTCCACACCGGCCTGAACCCCCAAATTTGGTGATTTCCTGAGCCTCCCTGGAATAACCTTGAACTATCCAGTCCCAGTACACAGGGAAAACCTCCCCATGACCACCTGACCCCACACAGAACAGTGGGTGACAACCCCCCAAAACAGCCCTTCTCTCCGCACGCCCTCCTTATAGGCCCCCAACGCAGCACCACAGCAGGGCCCCTTCCAGGGAACACCTGTACTTCCTAACGCCCCAACCCTACCACCACCACTGATCGCGGTGCCGCAGGACTCTGTCCTAAAATGTCACTGACCTGCTGGAGCTGCGCCTCAGGCCATGCTGTCTGTGAGTCTGGGCCAGCCTGGTCTCAGGCCTGTGTGCACCCTCTGGCCAGGAAATTAAGTGCTCCCCCCCAGCCCCTCCCAAGGCCACTGGCCTGGCCAGAGGTGCAGCTGAAGGTCCCCTAGGGGCTGGGGCAGGGTGGAGGGAGTCAGGGAACAGGAAGACACCATGAAGGCCACCTTATCTTCAGGAAGCAGCTTGGGAAGCAGGGTTGAGTTTCCTGAAGTCCAGCCCAGAGGAAACTAGTGCTTCCCAGCCTGGTCTCCACCAGCTTCCTGCCAGGGCTTTCTCCTTCCCCCACCCAGGCCCCACCACACCCTCTACCTGATGGCCCTGGGGGAGGGGGCCTTCCACAGCCAGAGCTGCAGACCAGCCCTGGCCTCCACGCCTTCCTGGGATCTACCCTGGGCCTGGGTGGACCCAGAGCACTCCAGCCAGCCTGCCCAGCTGGACCCTCCTGGGTGCCCTTCAGCCTTGCAGGCAGCCTCCCAGCTGGTAACACAGCCACCCTCCCTGGCCCTGCCTCCTTCACTGATGAGCCTTTGAGGAGAAAATGTCAAATCACCAACCCGCAGCCAACAGATTGGTGGTCTCTGGCCTCAGCTGGTGAAAACAAGCCTGTGTTCTGTACCGTGCCTGGCACATATGAATTAATCCCAGACCTCGACAGTCCCCCAGCTCCACCAGCGCTTGGCAGGCAACAAAATAAAACCTGGAAGCACTCATACAAGGACATGCTCTGGCAGAGGAAGAAGCCAAGGGCCAGGGGGTGTCTGTGCCCTATATTTTGTTCAAAATAACCCCAAGCACCTGCTGCCCAAACTTTCTTTCTTCATACCTGCCAGATCCTGGGAGGCAGGGTCACCATAGCCAGGTGCCACCCTTGACAGCAATCCTTTGTGTTCACCTGTTCTTCTGTTAGGACCAGAATCCTGTAAAGATTCAAGTGTTCAGTATTCCCATTTATCCACGCACCAACACTTCCAGACACAAACAGGCTTCTGGAGGTCTGGGGAGACTCAGAACTGTGCCCAGCACAGTGGCAAAGCTGAACTGACAAGACTCCAGCCCACCACACTGCAGCCACCCTTAAGGCCATTGCCAAGATCTCCTGGCCTGTGACTTTTTTTCTTTTTTTTTTTTTTTTTTGTACCAGGGATTGAACTCAGGTCCTTGTCCTTGTGAAGCAGGCGGTGGAACCACTGAGCTAAATCCCCAGCCCCCTGTGACTTCTGTCTCTGCACCAGCATCTACTTTGAGGTCCCTCAAACCTCAGGGGAGGGACTCCTCCTGGTCTCAAGCTCTCTCCACTTGGTGACTCTCTCACTCCCCAGCCCACCCTCAGGACCTCCATGGCTCCCACCCCACAGAGGCCTGTCCCCTGTGTCAGGATCGCCCTGTTTCATCTACCCCTTGAGCCCCATGTCCCCCATTTTCCATGGAAACTGGGGGTCCGGTGCCTAGACCCTTCCCTAGCTGCTTTGCTCCTCGTCTACATCTCTCCCAGTATGGATGCCCTTCCCCTGTACTATGAGCTTCATTCTCTTCTGAGGCCACTGTTGTCTTCTAATATACCCTGAGATTCACTTATTTGACCTACTTGTTGCTTAACATTTGCCTTCCTCTGCCAGAAGGTGCACTGCCTGTGGGGGTGATTTTGCCTCTCTGGTTCTGATGTGTCCAAGCCCCCAGCACAATGTAGGCTCAACTTGTTTGCTGTGTGACTAAGTCAGAGCTAAAACTTGAACCTTTACCCACAGTTCACAGATTCCATTGTGTGGGTGGGTGGGTGGGTGTGGAGATAGCCATCTGACTTTGTAGTCCAAGCTGGCCTTGAACTCCCTCCCTATGTATGCCAGGCTGGTCTCAGCCTCCCAGATGTTGACAGTACAGGTGTGCGCCAGCGTTCTTCCTTCAGACCTTCTCCAGTTCATAAGAGCAGACTGTAATGCAATAAGCTAGAGTGCTTGGTTAACTATACCCCTGGATCTGGAATATTTTTGTGAGGTTTTTTTTAATTGCTTCTAGTTCTGTAATATCTAAAGTATATTCAGAAAAAAATTAAAAATACAAGTATATTGAGATTCTATTTCATCTTGAATCTAAGTTTTCTTTTTCTAGGAATACAAATCTATTTTTTTAGGTTCAGCTTGTTGTCTTTTGATTTTCTACTTCATTATATTGTTTATTTTTCTACTTTTGAGTTTTGTTAGGGTTCTTTTTCTAGCTTAATTGAGCTGAATACTTATTTATTTTTAGTGTTTCTGTGTTTTTTTAATTCTTTTCCATATGCATTTGAGGCTGTACATTTCCCAGTACCACTTGAGTTATGTCCCTAAAATTCCATTTTATTCTGATTCTGTAATGTCCATTGTATATTTTAGCTTTTTAAAAAATATCTTATGTTTGCATAATTATTAGATGTGGATATGTTAAGATTTCTGCTGCAGACTGTATTTGCAAGCTACTCAGGCTGAGGCAAGAGGACTGCTTAGGTCTAAAACTTCTAGAGCAAAACTTCATCTCAAAACAAAACAAAGGGCTGGGAATTTAGCTCAGTGGTGCCATCACCTGCCTTTCACAAGTGCAAGGCCTGGATCCCCCATACCAAAATAAATAAATAAATAAAGCCAGATGTGGTGACACATGCCTATAATCCCAGCACTCAGGAAGCTGAGGCAGGAGGATTACCATGAGTTCCAGGCCAGCCTGGGCTACATAGTGAGACCTGGTCTCAAACAAAACAAAACAAAAAATGTCTGCTATGGTAGTGGCTTTAATCACTTTCTCCTTGAAATGTTGCCAGTTTAGGTTTTATATATTTTGAAGCTTTTTAATTAATACTAATAGTTTTTTTAAAAAATCATTGTAGCTTTTTTTCTTGTCAAAATTAAATGTTTTTTAAATTGCCAGCTATTCCTCAAAGGACTACTATCTAGAATATAGAAAGAACTCAGAAAAATCAGATCCCTCCAAATTTAAAGACCCGATCCAAAGATGGGCATTTGAAGTGATTAGATATTTCTCAAAGAAGTAGAAACAGAGGCCGAGATTTAGCTCAGTGGTTCTGCCACCTGTCTCACAAGCACAAGGATCTGAGTTCATCCCCAGTAACCAAAAA